CATTTGAAATGGCGAAAGTATGCAGGCCTCACGTGATCCTCTTGGGGTTTTGCTTTATTAAAAACCAATGCATTTGTCTGTATGATCCACACACCAACTAATACTACTTCAAACAATGTCACAGAGTCAAATTTCTCGCCTCATACATTTCAATGGCAATATATTTACTGATAATAATATAGGAGTGGTCTTTCAAAATACAGATTCAAAGATACTAAATATTCATCAAAAAAGTGATTTAGCCCACTGGACGAGAAAAACAGAAGAAAGTTTACAACAACATTTTACTTCTATTTTTTATCGATTTCTAATAGTTAATCCACTTGATAATAGTGACACCTACAACACTTCAAAAATCAAAGATGATGAAGATGTTCGTTCAATGCTTCAATGCCACTCAAGGTTTTGCAGTCAACAAACAAAGGAGTTGTATGTTTGTTTTCAAAAGGCGCAGGAAGTATATCCTACACAATCATCCCAAACCCATCAATATCAACTAAGTCATACCTCTCTACAAGAAGAGCCAGACCAAACATAACATAACGAGCCATTATTTCCCGAGAGGAAGTTGGTGATGATAGAGACTCTGACAATTCCATACATATTAATTTGTTTAGTGGTTCTAGTGACGAGTCGGGTGACGAGGACAGACACAAATCAGACTCGACTCATATACTTAATCTATACAACCCATCGTATCACCTCAAAAATGTTTCCTTTTAGTGTGTTGAACCCATTTCAGCCTTTGAAACCATAGACGAAGGTGATTCACGTGGAGGCTTAGAGGTTGGTATGAAGTTTGAAAACAAAGAAGCATGTCTCCATGCAATATATCAATATCACATAAAAATGGTTATGATTTTAAGGCTTGTAAGTCTGATACGATACGATATTTAATTAAATGTAAAAAGGAAAGATGGGTGTGGTCAATGGGTTATTGGCAGAATTGGGGGACTACACACTTTCATGTCATCTGCTATATCTTAAGATCACCACAAGCTTAACTAAAAAATGATCTCCCATAACATCAGAGCTCTTGTCGACAGTGACGCTGCATTCAAGGTTAGACATATTATTGCTAATATTCGTATGACTTATGGCTACGCCATAACTTTTAAAAAGGCATGAATTGCAAAGAACGAAGCAATTGAAGCTATTTATGGTAATTGGGAGGCCTCATACAACAACCTCCCGCAATGGTTGTTGGTCATGCAACAATTTCTTCCTGGAACCGTCATAGAACTTGAAACACTGCCTGTATATTCAAATGAAGGAACACATGTTGGTGATGCAAGAATTTTCCATCGCCTTTTTTGGGTCTTTCAACCTTGTATTAGGGGTTTCACACATTCCAGATCAATAGTGCGGGTAGATGGTACATGGCTATATGGAAAATATAGGGGCACATTGCTCCTGGTTGTTGCACAAGATGAGAACGGTAACATTTTCCCAATCGCCTTTGCATTGATTGAAGGTGAGACAGGGGGGGCTTGGAGTTTCTTTCTAAAAAATTTGAGACTCCACGTCACACCCCCATTCAGATTTATGTTTGATATCTGACCGACATGAGTCTATAAAGAGTGCCTACAATAACCCAGACAATGGCTGGCAGAACCCTCCATCGGTACATGTGTATTGCATTAGGAACATTGCACAAAACTTTATGCGAGCGATCAAGGACAAAGACCTCCGTAAGAAAGTTGTTAACATGGGTAATTTATTCTCTATTTTTTACGATGATAAGCACTTCGACTTTTAAATATATAGTTCTTTTATACTAATGTTTTTAATGCATATACACAGGGTATGCACTGAATGAGTCTACATACGCATACTACCGAAAGAAGATCCGCCAAACAAGCACAGAGGCTTTCAGGTGGGTAGAGAATCTTCCAAAAGAAAAATGGTCGCGAGCTTGCGACGGAGGAGCACGATGGGGCCACATGACAATCAACTTTGTTGAATCATTAAACTCAGTGCTGAAGGAAACACGTAATTTACCTATTACATCACTAGTAAGATGAATATACTTTAGGATGGAAACATTGTGGGGGAAGCGAGAACATGATTGGACAAAAAAGTTGTCATCGAAGAAGGAATTCACAGATAACTGCATGAAAGGAATTGCAGAAGAAGTAGAAAAATCCCACAATTACAATGTATTGGCTTTTGATCGTGAAAGACACTATTTCATGGTCCAAGGGACAGTTAATAATAACCAATTTCCACCACTTACTTATTTTAACGTCGACCTCCAAAAAAGAACATGTGACTGTGGGAAATTTCAAACTTTTCATGTGCCTTGCTCACATGTTATTACGGCTTGTTCTCACATTAACCACGATTATACTAAGTTTATTCCTCATGTGTATAGAGTTCTAAGCGTCTTCAAAATTTACGAACAGAGCTTCATCGGTGTTTCCCAAGAAGATAGTTGGCCTCCATATCTAGGCGATACTATTTTGCATAACGAAAAGATGCGACGAAACAAAAAAGATCGCCTGAACAGTACTCGCATTAGGAGTGAAATGGACACTATTGAGAAAATAAAAAGATGATGTGGAATCTATCAACAACCTCATATGCGCAAAAAAATGTATGCATCGTCTCAACGCTGCAGACCCTTCTAACTAATTATACAGATGTATTAAATTGTATCGATGTATTATTATTTATAATTAGATTTAATCATATTTTTTTAATTAGTAATTTGATGTTTCAAGTTAATAAGTATTTATAATAATTTCTTTTAATTTTATATTGTTTAATTATATATTTAAATTGATTTTTAACTATTTATAATTAATTAATGAATTTAAATAATAAAGGTTATATTAAATAACTATCAGAAATTCTAAAACAAAAAAAAATAAAAAAAAGCATACTCTCGCAATCTCAAATGGCGGAAAATTATTGTCTACGAAAATGATAGGTTCCTCACGCCATCTCAAATGACGAAAGGGTTCTGAACCGTGGCATTATGGGAGAAAAAAATTAGGTTGTGGTATTTTAGAACTTGTTTTTGAACCCTGTGGCATTATAAAAAAAAATTCACCAAAGTAATTAATTTAAAAACTCAATCTTTGTAGATAAATGACAATATTCAATTGAATAATTATATAAACCTTATAAAGAATTATGCTCAATTCATCGACTACCATTTTACAATCCATTTTAAATATCATCCTTTTGTTAGTATTAAAGAGTATTTGTCGGATTTATATAATTTGAATTCTTTGAAGAATGAGGGGGTGGCTAGTATGGGGTGCTAGATGGATAATAATTGGGTTTGGAGATATTTCGGTATCTTTGAATCAAATTACGTTAAATATGTTATAGGATTTGCGAAACTGTTTGGTTTCAGTGGACCCTAATAGAGATGTCGAAGACGGCGTCATTTGGAAGTTAGAGCCTTTGGAGGGTTACTCTGCAAAAACGGGGTATGATCTATTGGTTTCGGTTCAGCATAAAATCGATTATGTCGAAGGAAAGGTTAAAGCTTTCGTCAACTTATGAAAATCTTCTATTCCATTCAAAACCAAAGCTTTTTGTTGAAGGTGCATTCTGAATAGGTTATCGACGAGGGAGTAACTGAATCGAAGAAATATTATCTCTTTTCCTAACAATCTCCATTGTGTTTTTATTTTCTTCTTAATTGTTATGTTTCTAAACTGATATTGACAAGAAGTGATGGGGTGAATAGGCATGGAGATAAGTCCAAAAGGTTGTTTGCGGAGGAATTATCTCCTTTAATATTATTAAGAAATGTGATTAGACCTAACTCAACCCTATAAAATCAGCTTATAGGGTGAGGATTGCCCTCAGTTATAAGAAAACTGGAGCGTGGAAATAAATAGTGGGTGGCCCGATAGCGAAAACCATAATAAGTGATCCACCGAATCTTAAACGAGACTCTTGATACCATGTTAAGAAATGTTGTTGGACATAACTCAACCCTATAAAATCGACTTGTAGAATAAAAATTGCCCTCACTTATAAGCACATGTTCAGACTATATATTGTCTGATGCGGAACTCTAAACAAATATGTTAGTTTTAAAAAGAAATTGAAAGTGGAGAAGAAAAGAATTATTTTGTTGACGGTTGTTGTGTATTTGAAAAGTGTGAAACGGCATTCTATTTAACAATGCGGTTTGTAACGTCTCTAATTTGGTTTGGAATATCAAAGTGTAGGCGTGGAAGTGGTCCTTCATAGAGATATTTCAGATTCTAACTATAATTTTTATAAATTTTGCAAAAATCCTTTGTATTGTCTTGCTTAAGTTATTATTGGCTAGAAATCTTTCCATGTCTGAGTTTTTTGTCTCGCCTTTTTGTAGTCGGGCAAGAGTACCATAGTACTCTTTTCAATATAAGCTTAAAAAAAATCCTTTGTTTTCCAATGGCTATTTCCATAGAATAGCCAAGAGTGATCCCAAAGCTCCACTTTCTACCCTACATCAGTCCGTCTAGTTAACAGCTTCTGTTCAAATCTATTATACTTGATATTTGAGGATCAAAACTGTCATTCATTGTAAAAAAAAAAAACAAATCGATCAGCCTGAAAAACTAATCCTGGTTGCGATGAAGTTATGCAATTAATTAGACAAATAAAGTTCAACCTATTACTCACTAAAAAAAGAAATAAGAAAATTTGATTGTTACAAGTTTAAACAAAACTAAAATTAGATAGTCATCAATACCAGTCTCATCAGGTGGAGATATTTTTAATGGGGACTGAATGAAAAAACTATCAACCAGCCAAAAATATGAACAGACCTTCACTTCAAATTCAAGCAAGCAAATGGGTGGGGGGGTTACCACAACCCAGACCCCAGACCCCGGAATCGTCCCATAGAAAAACAGAGGGATAAGGAATACACAAGATTAAATACAAAGAATACATTACAAGTAAAAGATGCACAACTCGCTCCATCAGAGGTAAATCTCGGAAGACCTGGAGACAGAAATAACGCATGTATGTGTGGTAGAGTTGCAAAGCTAAAAAGCACTCCAATGATCAGATTCTCTTTTAGGAGTTTGACTTTCTGATGAAGTCCAATGATCAGATTCTCTTTTAGGAGTTTGGCTTTCTGATAAATTCCAACGATCAGATCCTCTTTTAGGAGTTTGACTTTCTGATGAAGTCCAATGATCAGATTCTCTTTTAGGAGTTTGGCTTTCTGATAAATTCCAATGATCAGATCCTCTTTTAGGAGTTTGACTATCGAATGAAGTCCTAAAAGGCCCAGAGCCAAAGGGATCCGAGTCATCAAAAGCAGGAAAACCATGATCATAATCCACACTGTTGAGGACAGAATCAAATCGTACTGGTGCTTCCCGAGCAGGTAAAGATGCACTATCATGTGTGCTAAATGAATCAAATCGCACCGGTGCTTCCCGTGCAGGTAAAGATGCACTATCATGTGTGCTAAATGAATCAAATCTTGAAAAGTCAAAGGCGTTTTCCAACCAGTCTTTAGGCTTTTGCGGGGAGCTGCCCGAGCTGAAAAGTGGGGTGCTTGGAACAGAATCATCAAAACTGAACCCACTGGTCTTCTGGAAAGGACCACCAGCCTGTGGTGATGCTGTTTTAATGGGGTTCAGGCCCAGGTCTCCAGAACCAAAGAAATAGCTGTCTCCAGCTCCATCAAGATCTCTCTCCTGAAATAAAAAGTAAAAACAAATGTTCAAATGCAATCAGTAGACTGCTAAAAGTATAAAAGGATGACATCTAACCCTTTGATACTAAGAAACAGTCATAAAATCTTATTAAAGCCATAAACTCATAATAACTAAATAACCATGATTTGTATCAGTCATAAGTATTGTGTAACTATCAAAATCCCCTGAACCTCCAAGTCATATTCTCCATAGCCATATGGAAGCTGCATATCAATTGCAAGGTTTCATTGTAATTTACAAAAGAAAGCAAAAGACCTGTACCATCCTCATCTGTCTGGAAAAATCCTACGACAGGGTACCACAAGAAGTCAGAAGGGCTCTAATGATTGAGGAGTACATATAGCACGTGATAAAATAAAACTACAAAGGATATGCAGTTAATGGAAGGATTTATACTAATGGAGGTATCAACTATTGGAGGTATAATATATAAATAGATTTGCACTAAGGGCCAAAAACCAATGCCTCAATGAATATTCTCAACTGGCGATGTAGTCCTAATTGATGATTCAACAGAAGGAATAACAAATTAAAAAGTTGAATTGAGGAAAACTGACAATGCAATGAAATATAATCAAAGGTTTTTGTATCTCCACTCCAAAATTCATATTTTGAGGTGATTTATTCAGTTTCAAGCCACAAAACAATGTTTATTACGAGAAGTTTAGTTTAGCTGAGACTTGCTGTGTATATTTTGCATCAATAATCTTTTTCCTCTATATGCATACTTCAGACGGTGAGTTTTGTATTGATGTGTACATTTTGCATCAATAATCCCTTTTCCCCAATATGCATACAACTGATGGTGAGTTTTGTATTGATGTGCTGTCTCAACTATTGAGTTGACTTGATACAAAACTCGTCCGTTGTCTCAACTATTGAGTTGACTTGATACAAAAATATAAAACAAGCACAAGATGGGTACATACTTAGCAGTAGCAGACACAAAATATAACAAATTCAAAATCGATGAACATGGTTCAAAAATGACTAAACGAAGGATTGTGGGACTGCTTCCCTCGTTGGGGCTGGGATTCAACTTGGCGAAGCTAGGTTCATTCACCACATTGGCGTGTTGAGTTCATCGCTAACTTGCAATGACAGGTTTATTCTGGTTTGTGGCGTTGTGTGGGGAGCTGTGGAGTTGACACTAAATAACGCAGTGTTGTCTCAAGCAGTGCTCTTTTTTTCGCAAACTTTATTTGAGAGCCCTTTATTGGGAAGCCTATTGAAATTGTATGATTTGAATAATGACTTTAAATTGACTTTTTTCTGTGTAGGTTTATTTGTAACTATCTTTTTCTTGACTAAATTTTTTTTTCCTGTGTAGGTTTATTTGTAACTAACTTTTTCTTGGCTAAAATTTGTAAAAAGCTAAGATCTTAGTAATCTTCAATTTGAGGAAAGGTACTAGACTATTCATATTATCACTTTTGTGTGCAAAGTCTTATCATGTGGAGTAGTGGTACTAGTTTTGCAACATTTCCTAGAATACCGGTATATATAAGCGTGCTAGAGTATCCGGTCAGTGTTTCCAAAATTGGTGATGAAAAGTTAGAATATGGCAGGAGAAATGCAGTAATTAAACTGCCAACATTGGTGATGAAAAGTTAGAATATAGCAGGAGAAATGCAGTAATTAAACCACTAACATTGACGATGAAAAGTTAGAATATAGCAGGAGAAGTTTAGACAGATGCATCATTCAAAAGAAGTAAGAATTTTGCTGAAACAATACATCAAAGGTGAGAACTTGCATACCTCCTTAGTGATGCTACTGGAACTGAATCCCCAAACTGAATCAACATCATCATTTGCGTCAAAGGTTCCCCCCCAATGAGATTCATCAAAAACTTTGTCTTCAGAAAACAAAGACTTCTCGCCACTGTGATCACTGCATATGCAAGATTATATACAGACTATTATTTTACAAGATCACAAAATTTATATTATACAGAAAAAAAAACAAAAGCATATATTGGTAACCGAGGGTGGACATTGACATGAAGCAAAACCATTTTTAAACAACTGAATAACCTTTCAGACCCATAGTCGGGAACAAACCTCCTTATTATGCGTAAGGACAACAACCAAACCTTGTCCCACTAAGCGGACCCAGCTCCATGTCATGCATGTGCTTGTAAAAGTCATATCAATCTAAGTCTAACCAGAGTTATCAATCCCGGCGGGTAGCAGCGCTATCCGGGAGAGTGGACCAGCGCGGAGGCCGGACACTATGAAATTGCACAATGCTGGCGCGGGTGGTTCGCATTCTTGTTCTCTCTCGTTCGCGTTCTTCTTCCTTTCTCTCTTTCGCTTTTCTCTCATTCTATACTCCGTTTTTTTACTCAGCACCACCACTCTGTTTTTAACTCCCTTAATTTTTTATACTCTGCTTTCTGGTTTTTTTTTATGAAGACCACTACACTATTTTTTAAAACAGTATGTTTTTTTTTAATTATTTTTACTATGTTTGTTTTATGAAATATATGTTTATAGTTTGTAGTTATAGTTAGTTTATAGATACTATTCATACAATTTGTTCAAAAATAGTCAAATAGCGGTTATCCCGTTATTCACTATCTCGATACCCATTTTCAGCGTCGGCCACTCCACTCCGCTATCTTGGATTGATAACTCTGAGTCTAACAGGTTTCTAATCCGTCAAAGTGTTTTAGTGCATGCTACAACCAGTTCCATAATATACTTGGTAGCTATTAATACTTTCTATCATTTGGGAAGAAAAAGCTACATGACAATTAGCATTGTTGTGACAAGGTGAAATACAGGTTGAGACAGCAACACCGTAACCGTGAGGCTGTCTCGTGAAGGTTTAATGATAAATCAATCATACAAGTGTTCTAAAGGACTATTTAAAATTCCATGAAGGTATGGCCAAAAGCAAATATTGCAAAGCAAAGTGCAACTAAGAAACAAAAACAAAGTAACTTAATAAGAATTTGAACATCATAAAAATGTATATTTTTTATGAGTTCAACAGATCCCCCCACCCCTCTGCGTCTCCTCTTGATCCTTCAATGATATGGTATATTATCCAGTCCTCATTGTGTTTTATTACCTGTTCTTGCATATCCAGCCCTCATTGTGTTTTATTACCTATTCGTGCATACCCACAACTGATTTTGCTTTACTTTAATTTTTTCATAGAATTTCTCTCACAAAATCCTTGAACGCTATGGAGCTTATCCCATTTTCACCATGTTCTGTTTCCTACTCTTTCAGATGTGGAAATTTCCTTCATTTGATATTTTATCAGAAAAAACCAACATTTTCGTGCACAAGATTGAGTTCAAAGGAAACAAATTAAATCAGTATTAAAATTGTATAATTAGAATCTGCATGTGTCCTTTAAAGCTGCAAAAATCACTCAGTAAAAGTGAGAAGGGATGATTTAGTCAATTAGGAAATACTGTAAACAAACCAAGTATAGCGAGAAAGCAAAGACGTCTGAAAAACTTCCAATGGGTAAAGCTATGCTAAACTAAAATTCTATTCAGTAAATAGTTGAATGATTATATGAAGAATGCTAAGATGATTGCTTCAACTCAAATGTGAGGAGGTTAGCATCCTCATAATTGACTGAGCTATGATGATAGGGTTTTTTTATCAAGTTGTAAAAATAGGTTGTTTGCCCGAGCAAAATTGGAGGATAGTAGCCTCAACAAAAAAATGAGAGGAGTATGTGCAGAAGCGCATCTGAGTGTGCTGATGAGAGTATTACTATTCAGCTATGACTTTTAGGGGGAGGGGGGGAATGAAGGTCCAAACCATTGGAGTGATAACTTAATTGGACTCTCTCTTGAAGCACAATATATTACATATTAAGAAATCACTTAAAAGCCTAAGCTGTTAGCAGGTCCCTTACGCACACATGCATCTAGAGACAAAAGCCCTTTGAGTTAAAAAATGTGGTTGGACCTAACTCAGCCACATTCTTAACATGGTATCAGAGCATATTTTAGTTGAGTAATAGTGACACCACTCTTGGATTGAGCAACTTCAATCCCCAAAAAATATTTCAGTGGTCCCAAATCTTTAGTTTGGAAGTGTAGAGACAAATGTTCACGAGCGTTATCACTTTGCAAAATTTTAATGTGGGTACCAAATTGGCTTCATTGTCTTGATGTCTCCTAATTGTCCATTTAATTTAATCCATCAGTAAACTCACTCGTACCTTACCTTGCTCTGATACCTTTCAGTAAATTCGGTGTCTTAAGGGAGATCACACTACTTGAATTTATACTAGTGTTACAATAAATACATTGAAGTTTAATGAAGAAGCACTAACCTAGTTAATGAATTAGCACTAACCTCAGGTTGAATCTATTTGTAACATGCTTGGTGCATATAACATGTATGATCCCAGCTTGAGGAGGAATGTTAGAATTAATTATGATTGTAGATATTCTAGTGATTGATAGTATTCCTAAACTAAACAACTTCCTAGGTTAGTGCTTATTCATTAAACTTCAATGTATTTATTTTAACACTTTTATAAATACAAGTAGTGTGATCTCCCTTAAGACACACAGAATTCTATAAAATGTATAGCACACATGAACACTTTACCTTAACCTAAAGATATAAATTAGAAAAATGAGGCAGCATAGATCAAACTCCTATCCTATTGTTCACAGAGGCCCTTAAACCACGCAAAACATAAATTACCCACACACAACATGCTAAATGGAAGCAAAAATGTAATACACGTAATCACCATCTTATTGATAATTATTATGTTTGTCACAACCTTCAAAAGGGCACAAAGAATATATGTGATCAATAAAATCCAATTGCGGGTGCAAATCTTAAGAACCATACCTTTGGGTTTCTGGCGCGGCATCTTGATTACGGGGAGAGCTATCTTCACCGGAATTCTTTCGAATGTCAGAATCAACAAAGTCCCTATGCGGACTTCCAATAGTACTGCTTGCAAATGGACTATTAGGAGCACTTTTTGCAGACCCATCATCACTTTTATTATAAGGAGATCCGTTGTCTACTCCCTGTTCATTTGTAGTCTGAGGTTTTTCTGACTTATCATCATCACTCTTAGGTGACGCAGCAAATTTTGGACTGTCAATATCCAAAGCTTTCGTGTTCACAGCCTTTGGTAACTTTTGTTTTGGAGGCGCTATGGTGTTTTGCACATCAAGAGTGTATTCTTTGACAAGAGCAAATTCTGCTAGAAGAAAGAATAATAAATAACCAAGAAATTATTCATATCTTTCAACATTCTCCAAAAGAGAATGGATGCAAACCAGAAAATAAAGAATTTGCATTTACACATAACTTTAATCATACAAATATCATAATTTCTCTTAAATGTAACCTAATTTTGGGTTATCCTATCTTCTAAATCTAAACCATATAACTAATCAAAATGATTGATGTCTCACGTTTAGACAAACAGTTAAGCTTATAAAATAAATACATAATATAGTATAAAAAGTATAGCTCACTAGCCAAAAATGCAAATGAAATCAGTTTAAGTTTGAAGATGCAGACATGCAATATGCTCAATATATCAACTAATCCTCCAGATAAAATGATAATTAGCCACGTCAATATGGTTTCATAACCTTGTGCAAAAAATTCTCAAAATTATGGCTGGTGCCAAACAATGGGCATATCATTTGTTTTGAATGTTTAGTAATTAATAGATATAGAATATTCGATCTAATTATTGCTATTTCGAATACCTTTATCTTCAAGCTTATCCCAAACCTCGTCCCAGTCAGCAGCTCCTTCCTGGATACCAGGTTGCCAGCCTAAAGGATTAATTTGAGTGAGGCCACATAATACAAGAAAAACTTTAGATGTGTGTGTGTGTAATGATTACACTATTCAATATAAAATATATATTAGAGAGCAGCACTCGAGACTGGTGAGCAGAGTACATCAAAGCAAAAAGAAATGGCATGACACAACTAAAACAAATCAAATGAGAGAAACGTGGTAACTGAATCAAGAGGCCAACAATGAAATGAACCTATCATGTGAAAAACATAAATGAAGCAGATGCATTTAGCAAAAAAATAGAGTCAATTTGCAGGCAATGAAGAGTTTTTTGAGCTTAATTAAAACAAAAGTAGACTGATGCAACATAAGTTTTTTCATTTGAATCAAATCTGCCGTTTATCTTGTACACTATTGTCAGAAACATCCACTAGTTTCCAGTTTCATATCTTTCCATACAACCAATACATTAATACAACATTTGATAACCATTACATTTGGCCCTATTACTAAGAACCATATAGCTAATTTAGTGTCAATAGCAATCCATTATCATATTTTGTTTTAATAGATTCTTCAAAAATAATGCCAGGAGAAAACATTTGTGCTAAGCAGCAACAATAGCTATATAAGATTATATAGAGCCTTTCCATACAGAACTGTGCCACAAAGTAGTTATAAGGTTACATAAGAAAATCATTAAACTGTGTGTTAAATTAAATGTCACTTGATCGGGCAACTTTTATCAAGTTGGGTTGGCTTAAAAAGTTTTCATGCCGAGTCAAAACCAGTAGTTCAGAAATAGAAGGTCATTTCCTCAAACTAAATATCAACATCACTGATGCAACAAATATCATATAATAAAGCTTTAGAAATAAAAAAGACTCAATAACACTGGAAAGGATATAAAAACAATTATAAATTTGAAATTACCAAAGGGTAGCTCCACTAGTGTTGTGGGCTTTGCACGTAATCCATACTGCTTGCACCTTTCATTTAGAGACTTCACCAGTTCATCAAGGGAAGATTGGATGCGATCAGCACGCCCCTGAAAATTGCATGATTAGATCGAATATGAAAGAAAAAAATCTCAAGATGGATGTGGTGAACAGATCATATTCAAACATACCTGTACCGTGTCGTCGGTATTTACATCCTGTTCCAACTTGACAATCCCTTGATATAATTCAATTTTTTTCTCCTACACATTCAATAATATAATGTGATATAGTGATGCAAAATGCAAAAAAAATAACATGCTACCATATATGCTATGCATGCTATGCTATAGCACCTGCATGTCACGAAATGTGGCTTCCTCAGTCGTCAACTTGGATGATACATCTCCAACTTGCTTATATTTATCATCATATTTCTTTGCTAGAATCTCTACCTGAAATGAATAAATTGAGCCAGTGATAACAGTTAACATAATAGGCCTAATAAGGATATAAGCAATGCTAAAGAAAAATACCTCGTGCTTATCGGCAGATATCCTTTCGATGATCTCGTTAAGACGATTGTCACATCTGCTCTTGTACAGAACCTTTTGCAGGAAAAAGAAAATCAGATATTTGTTTAAAAAAGGAGAAAATAAAAAAGAGTATTAATATGACATTGTTAGTCAGATGCAGCGCATGAAAGGCAGCTTTTATGTTTTTCTCTTCTAGGTATCCACAGTTACATAAATACACAAAGGAGTCCAGCTTGTGTTCACCATAAAACAAACCTATTTCATAGGCCTCTCTCTTCCTGGCTAGTAGTTCGTAGGTATCTCAAGAAGTGGCTAAAAGCCAAAAGAAGGGGCAAAACTTCTACAACAACCAAGCCTTATCCCACTAAGTGGGGTTGGCTACATGAATCAACTTTCGCCATAATGTTTTATCCAAGACCATGTTTCTATCCAAATCGTTCATCTCGAAATCTTCCTTAATAACTTCTCTTATACTTTTCAAGGTCTTCCTCTACCTCTAGTTGTTTGACTTCTCTCCATTTGATCTACTCTCCTTACCACATAATCTACAAGTCTTCTCTCTATAAGTCCAAACCACCTAAATTTATTTTCCACCATCTTTTCCTAATGGATAATAATTGAGTAAAAGACTTTTCCCGGAGCCCATTCTTACTCTCTCCAAATTAATTAATATAAGAAACAGAAGCTCAATAAGAAGATAGGAGTCTACGTATGAGTCCAGTAGGTCTATAGTAAGAAAAGGTTAGTTTGGTCAATGAATTGGTGATATTTACAAAACAACAATTTCAGCCTACATATATTTTGCAATTCTTAAAGCTCAATAAATTAAATCAGAGAGCGAAAATTCTTGGCAAGATCCATTCTTTCATAAGTACAATAAATCACAATGTTAAACAATCTGTCTCCCTACATTTTTCAATTACTAGATATATCAGTACACCTATATGGTTCTGGCTTAGCCTACAAATCAATATGCACTATACAAGTAAACAAATCACTGGTTTATTGAGAAAAGAAACTACCAAAAAGAGAAAATAGAACACAGCTTAAACAGGATGGAGTTTTAACAAGGCACGAAGGTATAAAGCCCAGAAAACACTCACAAGTTCCTGCATTTTTGCACGGAAGAATTCTATTTTCTCTCTCGACTCCACTATTTCTTTCTCAAGTTCTTCTACCTGCAGTTAGCAACAGAATAAAGAGATCAGAATTGCCTTCATTCAATTTGAATCAGAACATAATAAAATCAGGCATGCGTGAGCTGACACAATGATATGCATTGCACAAACTGCAATCTAGAACATGAATTTTCCACGCAATCTTTGTAGATACAAGTAATAGCTAGTAATTTACATATGCAACTTTCATATTTCAATATAATCAGCATGCTGTATAAAGAGAATAACCATACTTCCTATTGAAACCAATAAGCAAATAAACATGACATCCACTGAGGTGATACTGATAGGCTACAGCTTGACTCTCACTAGCCTAAGTCTTTAAATTTGAGTATGGTGATTGTGTCAAAGGTTCAATCCCCAACAAAAGGCACTTATTACCCTCCACTACTTAGGTGCTAGAACCTCCTAATGTACCAAAAAATTAAAATAATTGAATGTGGCATATTTATTGCACAGCATAAATATTGCAGAGAAATAAATATACAACAGTTACCTTCTTATCAGCTTCTGTTGCTTCTTGGAACTTCGAGTTAATTGAATTTTGCTCATCTGAACTCAGTTGATTTATGAGATGCTTCTCCAAGACTGGAATTTTGGATTTCTGCTGCTTGTTCTGAGATCCTTCATCAGATGGAGGGACAGCAGCCGGCCTTGGTGGCCGACCTGCAGCAGGGTTCACTTGTCGAGCACCAGATGCAGCTACCCCTTGCTGTTGTTGAGCACCTTTCAAAGGTAAAAGGACAAGAAATTATAACAAAATAGTTTCCATACAAGTGAATGATAATAATCTAAATAAGCATGATAGTTCTTCAGCACAGACCTGGTGGATTTCCCCAAGATACAGCACTGTGGACATTAGCAGGTTGACCGGTAGGAGGTAAATCAAGAACTATACTACTTGGAAGTACACCCGGAAGAGCACGTCCCTCCCTGTGTCGCTCCATCAGGTACAGCGCAATACAAAATTCTCTGAGAGAAAGCATGCTATCATTATCTTGATCAGATAAATCCCAGACCTGCTTTAAAACCTCTGGAGAATATAAAACATGGCATTACAAATAATGATCAGCGAATTAGCTAGCCATCGAGAAGTTACGACCAGAACACTAGAGAAGTAGCAAAATACAGAAATCATTTTCCTCGTGATGTCCAACCAAAAGGATAGGAAGTATGAAATATACCTCTTGGTAATCTCCAACTAAGAAACAAGTTCCTCGCCTGTTCCCCAGTGATTTTCCCATCTCTGTCTGTGTCTACTTCCATGAATACTCTCGTATATTTCTGAACATCAGTCTGGTTCATTCGTGGCCATGGAGATTGGGGCTGACCTGACACAGAATCCTGCGATCTCACTTGAAGTCCAGATGAACTAAGCATATTAGGCGTCTGAACCGGGGCATGCTGGTTCTGTTTTACCGCCGGCTGGGACTGCTGAAGATGTGGACGGGGCTGCTGAAGATGTGGACTTCCTGACTGCTGAAGATGTGGACGGGGCTGCTGAAGATGTGGACTGCCTGACTGCTGAAGATGTGGACTGCCAGACTGAGTAGCAAGTGAGCTCTGCAATGAATCAGGGGAACTAGTCCTAATAGAATTCTGGTTCCCTCCAGATACAGGAACAATGGCAGATGAAAGCAGAGAATTGGTAGAAGAAAATCCTTGTGGAGAAGAATTTTGCTTTGGCTGAGTGGAGCTGGCTGAGAAAAAATCCCCTCCGAAAAATGAATCAGAAGCAGTACCATTCAAAGAAGTATCCATGGATCTAGAATTCTTGACCACTTGATCTGCTGGCTTAGTGGCAGATGAAGCATATTCTGATTGTTTAGGTGTGAGAGATGCAACATTTGATCCAGATGTAGTAATTGCAAGACCAGGGCCCTCCTGAGTTGAAGTAAGACTAGTTCCTCTAACCGGTAGCTGAGAGGACGCTATTTGCAGTTGTTGCGAAGCTCCACCCATGTTTCCATAACTAGGGAAAGCAGCAGAACTTGCAGGGCGAGCTCCTCCAACAGCAGCCACTCCTTGAGTTGGAATACCAGCAGACAAATTTTGCAGAGGCCTTGTTGACTGATTTACCGGTGAAGCAGGAAGGTTTTGATTTGGAACTGGCCCCCTCACTCCAAGATTTACCTGAGGTGCCGGTGCCGGTGCCGGTGCAGGTGCAGGTGCAGGTGCAGGTGTAGCTGTGGCACTGAAATTGATTTGAGGAGCAGGAATCTTAGATGCGGCTGGGCCATACAATGCCGCTTTCACCATTTCAGGAGTGAGTTCGCGCTTGCTCTGTGCAACTGTAACAAGTTTAAGTGCATTGTAGAACTCCGCACGACCAAGGAAACCACTTTGATGTGTGTTTGCAAATGCCCAAATCTGTAGAACAAGGATTGAATTTACAGTATTTACAATTTAGAGGAACAAATACATACTATAACAAGTCTATAACTACACTAGTACTATTGATTGTATCAATTATGAATGAATTGAATAAGGAAAGAGAGATTGTTGAGAAAGATGAACCTGTGCAAGAACGTTTTTGGGCAAACCGGAGCCTTGGAAGAAAGAAACGGCTTCGGCACCGCTGATACGGCCGTCTCGATCCAAATCGGCACGTCGAAAATATGCATCGAAGAGATCAACATTAGGTGAAGGCGATGCCATTGCAGTTTGCAGATGCAGCAGCAGCACAGTAGATCAGACCATGAACGATGAACACAATTCAGATTTTAGAATCGATCTAAACTCCGATGGAACGATTGATCGATGGAATCGATCGCCACCGCCACGAATCAAATCGAGAATCAAAGGGAAAAAACAACATCGCAACCCTCACTTCTCATATTTTTGCATAACGTCCCTCTTTCATTACCATATTTCAAAAATACCACTCTCTTCTCCTATTTTCGCTTTTTCTTGTTTTAATCAACTGTGATAAGGATTTTTTTTTTTTCATATATATAAAATCGATTATATACATTTGTTCGCATGTATATAAAATATATATAAATTAAATAATATCGATATGTCGGAAATATATATTTTAATAGAAAATATAAAAAATAATTCAATATTTATCTATATGTACGTAGATCATACAATATTGTTATAAATAATAAATAAATATAATAGAATAATATATATAAAATATAAAAAGAATAATAAATTGTAATAATTGTTGGATGTCTATAAAAATTATGTTGAAAAATATAAATTGTAATAATTATCACATATACATAAAAATTATGTTAAAAAATATATGAGTATCTGATGTAGTCTATTTCACCCACATATTATCAACATGTGCGTTTATATGGATCAAACAATATCATTATAAATAGTAAATAAATATAGTATAACAAAAGTTAAGAAATATATATAAAAGATATACGAATTAACTAATGTCGACTCATCGAAATATATATTTTAGTAGAAAAATATAAGAAATAATTAAATAGTTATATACTCGTACGTTCGTACGGATGTAGTTATAAATAGTAAACAAATATAATATAATAATAGTTAAAAAATTATATAAATATAAAAAGAATAAGAAATTTGTGCTTTCAAAAAAAATTATGTATCCACCCATCATAGTTGTCTCATATTTTTATATAAACACTAATATTTATATTATTTTTTAGTATAAATATTAATATTTTATCATAAAAAAAAACTAATTTTTTAAGTTAATTTTATTTTTTTCTTATATTATATCATAATATCATATATCATTTTTTATTAAGCATATTTTTCATTAATGTTTTAAATATATTTCTTAAAATTAATGTTTTAAATGTATCCGACTAACTCACTTTTCAATTAATTTTCATTACCAAAAAAATCATTTAACCTATAACCACATTTCAAAAGTTCATTTTTAATTGATTTACAATAAATAATAATACTTAAATTTAAAATAACTTCTCATTAAAAAAAATCTAATATCCACACCGTCAATTAATCCACTTTTTAATTAATTCTCATTACTAAAAAAAACTTTGTTCAACTTACAAAAAGGAATGAGATCCAAAAAAATAAGGCTTTTAAGGGAAGAAATGGATAAATAGTTGAAAATATTCTAATGTGTTTCTAATGGAACATAAATTATATTTTTAACAAAATCATGAATCAACTCTTTTTCTCTATTAATAGAGAGTTATTAATATGACAATAATATCATTTATATATTAAATCACCAATTTCTTTAGAATATATATTTGTTTTGAAAGCTAATTGCCTTAGTATTCTAGAATAACAAAAAAATTATATATATGTATATTAATTTAATCTATTAAATGATGATTTAATTATCATAATATTTAAGGGGATATCAATATTTTTTTTTACAAAAATTAATATATACCAAACATACTCTATATATGATTTTATGAGTTATTAACGTATAATAATTTGTTTATTACAATTTTTCATCTGAACACTTCTTTTAGATTTGTGGTATTTCTTTCACTTTTATTTTAGTTTTATATATATATTCAGTATTTCATATTTTCTTTATAATTATAATCACAACTATTTCCAGTTATATTTCTTTTGGGGAAATATGCATGTGAGAATACTAAAAATTAATAATTGTGTATAAATTAATTGTTGACATGATTAAAGTATCACATGTAGTTTTGTCTTCGCCATTTTCATTACATCATTAATCTTTAATATTCATCTGTTAAAATATAATAATTAATATCAACAAAAAAATTGAATGGGTTATATTTTAATCTAAATATGTTTTTTCAATCTACATTTTTATGTAAGATAAAATTGTCATCTTGTTCGGCCATGATAGGAATCTTTGAATGTTGCTTTAATCTTTAGTTTCGAGGAAAGAAAGATAGGAAAAACAGCTTCTCACAGACAACGCCACTAATCTTACCGGTTGATCAAAACCTGAAGTGGGATCGATAAATGACATCTACAAGCCTGGAATCAATGAGGAGAATAAGGTGTACCTGCAAGGCACTCCAATGCTCAAGTAAGTAAGAGTGCAAAGAGATACAAGAAATAAAATAGTTTTTTTAGAACGAATATTGAATACCTGATCCTCACAAGTGTGAGGGTTTATATAATGCCCCCGATGTTTGGCCATTGGTTCTTATTTTTGGGCTTAGATATCAGGTTCCTCAAAAATAGGTAACTGCCATGAACTAGCCGTTGTAACGGGCAGAGAAGTGTGTCACGGGAAAGCATGATTTCTAGTTGTTCTTAGGTGGCTATCCTCGTGTGGCTTGGCAAGACGAAGACTAGCATGTTTGATAGGCAGAAGTGATCTTACAGACCCCTGAAGGTCAACCAACCAGGGCTCCTCGAGCGAGGGGCAGAAGGGAAAAATGTCCCCTATCCGTCATGGTTTATTGGGCCAAAGTTATTGGTCATACTAAATGCAGAAGTGGATTGTGCCTGCTTAGCCATTGGGCCAGTCCAGAACAGAAAGCAACAATAGATTGTCTGCATAGACCAATCTATTATCATTGAAGCATCATGAAATTTTATGAAACTTTGATGCACCTTTTCATTGCCTTTTTTCATGGCATTCATTCCCTAATCATTGCAACACATTTGTGATCTTTCTCTAAAGCATTTCCATGATTTTTCAAAAGGTATTTTGTGTCATACAGATAGTAGTATGTTTCATATTCAAACTCACCACTTTCAATTCAAATTTTTTTTGCATAATCTTTCAAATCACTTAGAAACTGTGATGCATAAACTTTTACATTAAGAGAAAGTTTCCTAAGCACTTGAAGTGCATTATGTTGAATTGTCATATTGAAAACGGGGAAGTGTGTTGGAATTTTATTGTGTTATCAAAATTTACTTATATTCAAATTCACTCATAAGTTACTTGTTTTCTATGTTTGTAGAAACAAAAACGTTAGAGAGAAAGTCAATTTCTTTCTCTTGTGTTGTAAAATCAGAAGGTGGTGTCCCTTTGGAATTTTGTTAGAAAGTTAAGAGAGTCCAGTGGATCGATTGTAACATTTCTAACATAGTGAAATCTCTCACAGGGTATGATGGTACTAGACGTACCCTTGATTGGAAAGCAGAGCTAGTATATATCTTGGTGTTCTTTACTTTATACATTTATTTTTTGCACTTTATTTTTCAAAGTTCATCTAAAATTTCAAGAAAAAGAAGAACACACAAACTGTCATCTAAAGTCGAGAAAATACTGATAAATCTGATTCACTCCCCTCTTAGATTGCACTTTATACTTACATTTGGTATCAGAGCAGGCTATAGGTAACTTGTTTCTAAGATCCAGAGAATGGCTTCTGCAAATCCGGTTTTTAGAGACGGTGGTAGCAACAATAAGCTTCCTTTGTTTTGTGGTGAATATTTATAATTTTTGGAAGATTCGCAATGCAAGTACATTTTAAAGCATAGAAAGAATAAGTATAGAATACTGTAGAAAATGGTTTGTTCGTTCCCACAAGAATTGTCAATGGTATTGGTACACCCAAGATTAAAAGTATGTGGGATAAAGATGATAAGAAAAAAGTTCTCTTTGATAAGAAAGAAAATAATTTACTTCGAGCAGCGCTAAGCATGGATGAATTCTTCTGTGTTTCTCAATGCACAATAACAACAAAAATCTGGGATACATTAAAAGTCACTCATGTAGGAACCGTGGAAGTGAAGAGATCAAAATTAAACACGTTATCTCAAGAGTATGAATTGTCCAGGATACATCCCAAAGAATCAATTATTCACTTACAGAAAATATGCATACACTTGATAAATCACTTTGAGGTGTACTTGGTAAGAATTTTTATAATAATAAACTAAATCTTAAAGTTATTATATCTTTGACCAGGGCATTGAAACTGAAAGTGATAACAATATCGGAAAATAAGAGCCTCTCAAAAATGACATTATTAACATTATTCGGAAAACTTCAAGAGCATGAGATTGAACTGTAGAATCATGATGCTTAAGAGAAAAAAATTCAAAATTATTGTTTTAAAATTCGATTCAAGGGAAGAATTGGAAGAATACTTGGCAGGTGAATATGATAACGTAATTCTTCTTGTAAAAAGGTTAGACAAGTTTTTCAAAAACGATAAATCTTTAAACTTTGCAAAAAGGAAGAAATTTTTCAAGAAGAAGGAGGCTTATACATCAATCCAAAATTACATTTGCTTTAAATGTGAAAAGCAAGGACATGTAACACCCTAAATTCCCCACGCGTCAAATTATAAAATAAATTGAGTATGGATCACATATTCACATTTAGGATGTTACTCATCATCAAAAATACCTTCTCTATAACACATAATTATATAATAAGACATTCAACATCTGTCATCGCATGCTCATCTTCACATAGGATATCATTGCATCAGAATTATAAAGATAAATATGCTTCTCAATTTATATAAGTCTCGTGAATTCACTTGATTAAACTTAAATGACACATAGCAAAAATCTCCATAAAACATCATAGTTATCATCACAGCGAGAGTATAACATCTAACTATCTAAATAACATAGCAAAATTAAAAGCATCATTCTCCCCGCCCAGTGTTACATATCTGAGCATGTAATCTAAGGATAAAAAATGAAAATAAAAGAAGAAGAACCGTGCGCCATCCTCCACTTTAAGCAGCTACTCAATTAGTTGTTTTTCTGTACTCCGAAGAGGA